GAAAAAGTACAGAGAAGACCAACCAGGATGATTAGGGGACTGGAGACTAAAACATATGAAGAACGGTTACAGGAACTGGGCATGGCTAGTCTAGTGAAGATAAGGACCAGGGGAGACATGATAGCAGTCTTCCAATATTTGAGGGGCTGCCACCAAGAGGAAGGGGTCAAGCTATTTTCTAAAGCACCTGTAGGCCAAACAAGGAATAATGGATAGAAACTGAACAAGGAGAGAATTAACCTGGAAATAAGGAGAAACTTTCTGACAGTGAGAACAATCAATCAATGGAACAGCTTGCCCTTGGAAGTTGTGGGAGCGTCATCACTTGAGACTTTCAAGAAGAGATTGGACTGCCATTTGTCAGAAATGGGGTAGGGTCTACCGCTTGGGCGGGGGGTTGGACTAGATGACCTACAAGGTCCCTTCCAATTCTGATTATCTGTTATTTATTAAATAAATACATAAATTCAGGCAAAGATATCAAGGTGGAATTGTTCACAAAACCTTTGGATGATGAATTGATTGTGAGCAAATATATGACAGTTTTATGTTACATAAAAGAATTTATCAGAATTTCAAACCATTATATATTTTAGATGGAAAGATAATAGTGTGGACTCTATTTTTGGATGAAGCCTTAGTTCAATTTATTATTATTTGAATGCTAAGACAAGATAGCAGGGTGAGAAGCCCCCATACAAATGACAGCTGAACATTTTCAGCTGTAGTAATGCCTATTTCTTTAAAATTTGTAGTGTATTTAACAGATACATGCTAGATAAAAATACATAATTAAAATGTATTTTTGCTGACGCTCAGCATTTATATACTGTACGTTGCTTTTTAAAGATGATATTAGAAGTAGAAACATAAGCCTTTTCTCTTTCTTGATCTTCATTATCCTTTTGTGGCTTCAAGAAAGCTTTTACTAGCTAAGAATGAACCTCTTGAAAAGCAACCAGTCACTTTTTTGGACTGTTACTTTCAAGACAGGCTGCGTTACAGTTTCTTGGCTCGTCTTTGTAACCCAAAACATGTGTCAGCATTATGAAATCTGGCATCTCACAATTGGAAAATTCTCCAAGGGTTCCTTTTAAATTTTTACTTTGTGATTTTCTGCTCAACATTAGTCACATAAAGCATTTTAAAATCGCAAAGCTGTTTTTGCCCACAGTAATGCAAGCAAAAAAAAATAAAAATCTTCTTTTATCTCATTCTGAGATGTGGAAACAGTACAAAAATAGAGATTTGAGCAAAATATTCTAGCAGAAGTAGGGAAATATTAGAGCCCTTATTTCAAATATTTTGTCTCACCTTTCAAGATATAGGATTCCCAGGTTGATTAATTATTTTAAATTACAGTAGTACCTTGAAACTGCTTTGAAAACTCATTGCATTTGGGACTGAAAGCATTTTGTCCCTGTACTCATTGTTTCTTTGGTACTCAACACACAAGCTAGAATTTAATCAGTGTTGGCTACTTCGTGACTCACTATATTATTCCGTAAGGGAAAAATTTGTTTGGTACTCCTCGTTTCTGGTACCCATTGAACCTCCCAGAACCAATTCACAATGAGTACTGAGGTACCAACATATTATAGTTTTAAATTAGATTTCGGAATCTTCGAAGGCCAAATATCCTGGAGCCACTAAAAATAAATCATAAATCCTTGAAATCAAGACTGACTTGGAGGGGCCCCCCTCTCTCCCCCAATATCTGCATGCATCCATTACTATAACCTACAATGTTAAAAATCCAGAGTTATTTCTTTTTGTTTTTGCAGGACTGTATCTCACTTTTTCCTTGTGAAATGTGTGTGGATGCCCTTTACTGGCGGCATTGTGAATGAATGGGGGCAGTGTGTTTGCAAATGACTTCACTGGTATTTAATCCAATTCAGCTGAGTGTATTTTTATCTTGTTTTCACATTCTTGCATTATCCAAAGCAACGAGGCTTTTTTTTTTTTTTTGGAGTAAGAAGAATTGTAACTTTGCCACATGATAATTTTTGTGATTTAAAAACCAATCCCAAATAAAGATGCTATTATAATACTTCTGGCGGGTGTTCAGGCCTGAATGTTAGTGAACTACTAAGTCGACCGTGCTTGCATTTATTTAACTACAGGTAGTCATTGACTTTCAACCACAATAGAACCCAACATTACTGTTCTTTTTATGTTAATTAATATGTTTTATTAATACATTTTCCTTTTATATCACATAAAAAATTCCATATCATTCTGGACAGCATGTTGTCTGGACATAATTCATTTTAAGTAGAAATACAATGTTAATCAAGATAATGTCAAGCATCCAGAAAGTATCCATGATATCAATCACTCCGAGACATTATCTCTCTAATTGATTTATTAGGAACAGATCTGGCATGTCAAAAGCAATTTCCCAAGTGAAAGTTTTTTCGCGTGTTACACAGAACCCACCTTCTCTCCTCCCTTCTCTCCTCCCACTTCTACACTTCATAAATCACGAGAACCAATTAACTGCAACTGGAAATTCTTAATACGACATACAGAATAACCTTGAACTTTTCAACTCCTCTAATTCTCTAAAAAATATGTGGCAGCAGAATTTCAAAGCTGACACATAAATCATAATAGTAAGCATAATAAACATATCAGTAATAATCACAAAACAGTAACACAATCAGTTTATCTATCTTACAAAATTTTCAGTACAAAGGTTATTATCTTTTAGATCTTATTGAATTCTAATATTCTAATCTAATCTCTGATTCTATTAGTTAACCATTGATAAAACAAGTCCCATGTCAAGAAATCTTCTGTTTCTTCCTTTTCTTTTAAGTGTTAATCTATCCATCTCAGCACATTCTAATATTTTTTTAATAACATTTTCACCTGTAGGGATCTCTTCATTTTTCCATTGCTGTGCGAACACAATTCTTCCTGCCATTAGTACATGTAAAATTAAATATGTTTTCCCTTTGTCATACTGATCTGGTAATACATCCAACAAAAATTGGTTTCAAATCTATATGTTGTTTTATCATTTTTTCTAACCAAGTATGTATTTTAGTCCAATATTTTTTGCCTTTGAGCATGTCCACCACATATGATAATATGAACCTGGTATCTGGTTACACTTCCAACATTTAGCTGATAAATTTTCATACATCTTTGCTAATCTCACTGGTAGTAGATGCCACCTATAAAGCATTTTATATAAGTTCTCCTTATAGGCCTTTGACATTGTTAATTTATAATTTCTATCCCACAGTTTCTGCCATTTCCCTAATTCTATTGAATAGCCAATTTTTTTAGCCCATCTTATCATTGTTTCTTTCACTTGTTCTTCCTCCAATTTAATACTCATTACTATTGTTAAGTGACCATTTGTTAAGTGAGTTTTGCCTCACTTTATGACTTTCCTTGCCACAGTTGTTAAGTGAACTACACTTAACTACAGTTGATAATTTAGCAACTCAATTGTTAAGTGAAACTGGCTTCCCCATTGATTTGGCTTGTCAGCAGGTCGCAAAAGGAGATCACATGACCATGGGACACAACAATATTCATAAATACGAACCTGTTTCCAAGCATCTGAATGTTGAAAGCAAGATCATGGAGATGCCAGAATAGCAGTAGCAATAGCACTAAGACTTATATACCACTTTATAGTGCTTTACATCCCTCTCTAAGCGGTTTTTACAGAGTCAGCATATTGCCCCCAACAATCTGCATCCTCATTTTACCCACCTTGGAAGGATGGAAGGCTGAGTCAACCTTGAGCTTGGTAGGATTTGAACTGCCAAGTTGCGGGCAGACAGTAATCAGCAGAAGTGGCCTGCAGAACAGCACTCTAACCACTGCGCCACCAAGGCTCAGAAAGGTCATAACTGTGAAAAACAATCATCACTTTTTCAGTGCCATTGTAACTTTGAATGGTCACTAAATGAACTATTGTAAGTCGAGGACTATCTGTACACTTTATAATTGGCAATACGTGCTGGAAATCCTAGAAGTTGTAGTCTGATATATTTGGAATGCTCTAAGGTGGGAGATTTCTAGCACTGAAGGGGGACCATCAAGAATAGATCATTTAGATATTCTTTCTGTTTAAATGTGAGACTATGTCATCAAACAGACATTTCATCATCTATTAGTCAATTCCTTTTTTTAAAAAATGTTGTTTTCATTGTGTCTTGCAGTAAATTCTGCAAGCCAATTATGATATGTGAGGAAAATTCTCTTAAATCTACTTTTTTTATTAGCTCAGTTGATTTTTTTTCTCAAGTATGATTAATTCAATTCCTTTCCTTATCTAGTTCCCTTTATGTCAGTGATGGAAACCTGCATCAGAAAAAAATTGCCTTGAAAAGTATAAGAACAAAGAAAAAAGCTTTTTTAAAAATTTGGTTCTTAAATTTTACTTCAGAAACTCAGAAACTTGTTCTTGCTCAATCATTGTCATAAAGTTTCTAATATTTTGCCAAAGATAACTAAAGTTGACTAGATATCAAGGCCCACCTTGGCTTTATATTCCAAAGAGTATAAAAAGCACATCTTTTTAAATAGATCTAAGAATGGGCATAGATGCAATATTTATATGTTTGTAAGTTTTAGATTAGAATGACAATCTCTTTTTTGCATCAAAGACACTAACATCAGATATGCTTTTCAATTATGGTCAGCATAATTTTGTAAAGATAGTAGGTAGAGCAGTATGCTATTATTTCTGCTTTGTTCAAATACATGTTCCTAATAAAAAGGTTATTCCATCTTTGAGGATGCTATTAAGTAAATTATGTTTTCTATCTCATTTTGATAAGCAGGCAATATACTTGCTAAACTTTTAACCAATCAGAAATTCTAGACAATATGTGTAAGAGGAAGATGGTTTTGGCAGGAAGCTCTGTATCATATATATTGTATCAATTGTATTTTAAACAATTAGCCTGTTTTCAAAGGCTAATGAAATCTCCACTGTTTATATGATCTGATATATCATTGTTGTTTTTTAGGCTAGTGGACTACCGGCAGCATGATGACGACGAGGGATACTGATAGCATGGAATTCTTCATGGTTGCCTTGCTTACTGGATGCTAATTCAGAATGCGGACCACAAGAGTAAACGTTGAAGTGTTCCTTTTGTGTGTATCTGGCCTAGAGAAGACTTTGATTGCCATGTCAATCCTCTTCTCTCTTGCCTTGCAACACCCAGTTAATTGAAGCTTGAGAGAAGTGTTACTGATTGTTGGTTCCCGTCAAATCAAAAGTTGTATCCTTCATCGCAAGAAAATGAAATTTCCATTTTATTGGCTTTTTGTCAAACAGACACAATAATATTTCCTTCTGGAAATCCTGGGATACAAACTGTTTTGGGTATGGCTACTGATCCCACGTGATAGAGGTGTGTGGCACCAACCTTGGGACTCATGACTGGGTATACAATGTTGCGGAATGGGGGAGTAGGGAATGGAGGCCAACCTTGGATGCTACGATGGTCTAGTCGGATTCGACTCACTTGGCTTAGCTTCACATTATTCATTATCCTGGTCTTCTTTCCGCTCATTGCCCATTACTACTTAACCACCATAGATGATGTCGATGATGCTGGCAAGCGCATCTTTGGTCCCCGCATAGGTAACGAACTTTGTGAGGTGAAGCATGTTGAGGATTTATGCCGAATTCGAGAGTCAGTGAGTGAAGAGCTGCTCCAATTGGAAGCTAAGCGGCAGGAGTTAAACAGTGAGATTGCCAAGCTGAATCTCAAGATTGAGGCCTGCAAGAAAAGCATTGAGAATGCGAAGCAGGATCTTCTGCAACTAAAGAATGTTATCAGTCAAACAGAGCATTCATACAAAGAGTTGATGGCTCAGAACCAGCCCAAGCTTTCTCTGCCGATTCGGCTGCTACCAGACAAAGATGACTCTAGTTTTCCCATGCCAAAATCCAATAGAAACTGCCGGCTGCATAATTGCTTTGACTATTCACGTTGTCCACTAACCTCTGGTTTTCCAGTATATGTCTACAACAGTGACCAGTTTAACTTTGGGAGCTCATTGGATCCTTTAATTAAGCAAGCCTTTGAATCCACTGTCAGAACTAACATATACGTTACTGAAAATGCAAACATTGCCTGTCTCTACATTGTCCTAGTAGGGGAAATGCAGGAACCTGTAATGTCTAAACCTACTGAATTAGAACAACAGTTGCACGCTCTGCCATATTGGAGGACAGATGGACATAACCATCTCATTATTAATTTATCCAGGAAGTCAGAAACTCAAAATTTCCTTTATAATGTCAGTACTGGGAGGGCCATGATTGCCCAGTCCACCTTTTATGATGTACAGTATCGTCCAGGTTTTGACATTGTAGTATCTCCTCTTGTCCATGCCATGTCTGAACCCAACTTCCTAGAGATCCCACCCCAGGTGCCAGTAAAGAGAAAATACTTATTCAGTTTCCAAGGGGAGAAGGTTGAATCTCTCCGATCCAGCTTGCAAGAAGTACGATCATTTGAGGAAGAAATAGAAGGAAATGCACCAGCAGATTATGATGATAGGATCATTACCACATTAAAGGCTGTTCAAGACAGCAAATTGGACTTTGTCTTGGTGGAATTTACATGTAAGAATCAGCCAAAGGCAAGTTTGCCCACTGAGTGGGCTCTTTGTGGAGAAAGGGAAGACAGACTACAGCTACTGAAATTATCTACTTTTGCACTGATAATCACTCCAGGTGATACACATCTTATGATCTCTGCTGGCTGTGCAATGAGACTGTTTGAGGCTCTAGAAGTTGGTGCTATTCCAGTCATCCTTGGAGAGCAAATCCAACTGCCTTATCATGATGTAATTTGGTGGAATGAGGCGGCCTTAATCATACCAAAGCCACGTATTACAGAAGTGCACTTCCTTCTGAGGAGCATTTCTGATAATGACCTCTTGGCCATGAGGAGACAGGGCCGCTTCTTATGGGAAACTTACTTTTCCACTTCAGACACTGTTTTTAGCACAGTCTTGGCTGTCATAAGGACTCGAATCCAAATTCCAGCTGTTCCCATTCGAGAGGAAATGGCGGTGGAGATCCCTCACCGTTCTGGCAAAGCTGCTGGCACAGATCCCAACGTGGCAGACAATGGAGATTTAGATTTGGGGCCAGTAGAAACTGAACCACCTTACTCATCTCCTAAATATTTACGCAATTTTACTCTCACAGCAATGGATATTTACAGAAATTGGAACTCAGCTCCTGGTCCCTTCCACCTTTTTCCTCACACACCCTTTGATCCTGTACTACCCTCAGAAGCCAAGTTTTTAGGGTCAGGCACTGGATTTCGACCTATTGGTGGTGGAGCTGGTGGCTCTGGGAAGGAGTTCCAAGCTTCATTGGGTGGCAATGTTCCCAGGGAGCAGTTTACAGTGGTCATGCTAACCTACGAGCGAGAGGAAGTCTTAATGAACTCCTTAGAGAGACTCAATGGTCTCCCTTACTTAAATAAAGTTGTAGTGGTCTGGAATTCCCCAAAACTACCATCAGAAGATCTCCTTTGGCCAGACATTGGTGTTCCAATTGTGGTAAGTCAAATTCAGATATTTCCTTTTTTATTCCCATGAGAAAACTCAAGTTACTATTTATATAAAATGTTGGTCTTCAGTTGTGCCACAAGATGTTCTCAGTTTGCTTGTATTTTTACAGATTTTAGAGCAAAGCAAAGCATGAGATCCCGAAATTGTCTAGGACACGCAATAAAAATATGAGTTTTCGGTTATGGTGAAATCTGGATATAATGTGGCCCTAATTTTTTTTAAAAAAATATATTTATTATTTTATATGCTAAAGTACAAAAAAGAAAAGAAAAAAATATAAAGGAAAACTCCAAAACAACCCAAAATAAAAGCATCCTAACGTTTGCATAAAACACATTTCATTATGAAGTGATACACCTTTTGAATACCAAATGGTCATATAGATCTTTTGAGTTTCCCATTACATCTTTATTGGGCCTTATGATTAAAATTATAATACTCACATCTGACATTTTAAAGAATAATGTATTTAAAGTTTGGTGAAATATTTCAACAGATTGCAAGTTTGTGTGCAATATCACTGAGGTATTCATGATGTAGGCATGTTTTATGGACTTTTTGGTTCAAGAAATTGAGACTGTAGATGAATCCAAAGTACAAGGAATGGGAAAGAGCAATAGCTGGTTTGCAGGAAAACATGAAGTCATGACCATATGCCCACTGGTTTCTCTTAAGGTTTTGATTGGTCCTGAGCAGAGATTATTTGCTCTGTTCCTTTTAGCATGAGTTCACTCATTGGTTAACTTTTTACCTTCCCCAAGTTCAGGATTGTTTCTCTTTCATTGTTCAGGAGGTCAGTTGTCAACAATGTAAGCTTTTAGGCACAGTAATTCTGTTCCTCTTATCCACTATAAAAAATTAAGATTGCAATAATATTAGAAACAATTTTCCCCAGTACATTGCTCACAGTAAGGCAGTGCAAAGACAAATGATTTTGTTTTTTTTCAATTACCAAACAGAAATATATGTTTGGATCTGCCAATAAAAGAGAATATATGTAGCTAGGGTTGAAAGGAGGGGTCCTTGGTGCTCTCTGAGTTCCCCAAGCTCAGAGACTACAAGGAACCCCTCATATATAAGTATGTTTAATGTTCCCAAAGGTGCAAAAGATGTAGAATCTAAACCAGGGGTCCTCAAACTACAGCCTGCAGGCCGGATACGCCCCACAGAAGCCATTAATCTGGCCCACATGGGGCCATGAGGCTGCTCTGTCCACATCGCATTACCTACACCCTGGCCCACACTCACGTTCTGGAGGCCGGGGAGGGAAAAATGGGCCCGTTTTTGGCCTCCCGAGGCCTCCACACGTCCCGTTTTTGGTCTCCCCAGCCTCCAGTACCACTCTGCCTGCCAAAAATGGCCTCACATGACCACCTAGCCATGACCACCCAGTCACATGATCACCTAGCCACGCCCACCCAGCCTGTCTGGTCCCCCAACAGTCTGAGGGACTGTGAATTGGCCCTCTGTTTAAAAAGTTTGAGTGCCCTGATCTAAACAAATAGTTGAAAAGATTTGTAAAGTAAAAGTTGCAAACTTAATGGTAGATGGCCAATTTGAATTTTAGAGTTTCCATTAAAGCAGTGCTATTTTTAAAGGCCTAGAATATTATTTTAAAATACAATTTCATGAGTGCTAGTGGAGAGTGCTATTAGGTATTGCAAAAATAAGATATTCTGATTGTTTTTCCACCCATTGAAGCAGGATGGCCCCTTTAAACT